CGAGTAAGAACAGCGTACTCAAGGTTTAATATCAAGCAAATTTTCCAATTTTTTATTTGCATTATATAGCACTTGAGGATGCTCACGTAAAACTTTCAGATTCAACTATGCCTACCCACTAGCTTACATAATTTACTTCTATTATATGTTATCCTATATACCCTACAGCAGATATGTAAATGTAAAATTGTATATGCTCTCATAAGGTCTGAGTTTTTTCTTTTTTCTTTATATCTAGGACCTCTAGACCAACAGTAATCCATCGCAATACCTACACAGAGAATAACTAGGTTTTTTAAGAGCGGACTGCCACATAAAGAGCATTAACCAGTAACATTTTTTCCTTGCACAAACTATTACAGAGGAAAGTCATTTTTGCATCATACCCTAACTGAACATTTACTTCACATCGCACCATTACTATCGAGAAAAGAAGGATTTATTTTGAGAAACTTTCAGAGATAAATCGAAGCGTTCCATCGGCATCTATTGCCGGATTGAGCCGGTATTGCAAACATAGGATACTCTGCGTTCGGTAGGACTAGAAGATTATAGTATGTCAGATTAGGTGCAAACATCTGGTGAAACGGTTAATATCAAATGTTGGGAGCAAACATCGAATATTAATCGATTTTAACAGTTCGGTGTTTAGAAAAAGAAACAAAAATAGAGAAAAACAAAGCAAACTAATTTGTAGACATGACATCCGTTCATCCATCCGCACCTTAAAACAGGTATATGGAATATTGAAGGCACCAGCACACACGGCTCATTCAACAAATTTGGATCGTATTTGTTGAGCAGCATTTAACTAATTACGAAGACGGTTCGATGAATGGTTCGCCTCAAAAAAGCTACAGCTCCTTTGGGCATAGCTACCATAAGTTGTTGCAGAGGTCTGAAAAATGCATAGTTAGCAGTGGTGAATAGTTCAGCGAAAGCGTTTTCATTTTCCATAAAGAATTTTTCAAGACCCAACTCTATATTTTCTACATAGCTAATATGTCCGATTCATGAAAGTTTACTGTCTGTTTAAAAAAAAAAAAAAAAACAGCAGACCTTCATTTTCAAAGCACTTAAAGTCTGTTTATTTGCTTGCTTTAAAACATATGTGATTTATGTATATTCCCATATTTTTGTAACTAATGACAGTCAAAGTATGTGAGAGTCTGCAAGGATTAATAACATAAATCACGATTGGCATCACCAATTAAATTTGATGTTTACATGATTCTCGATGATGTCAACTGAAAATTGTGAGGATCTCATAATTTCTTATTTTTTTGATAAGCAATTTATTTTCTTTTTATACGCGTAGCAATTTTTAGCTTTTAGAGGAAAGCATTTTCTAACTTTTAGTTATAAGCTTCCTAATAATTAAAAACTGCCTATAATGTATGCATTTTAAACGAAAATTTGAAATTTTATTATTCTCACAAAAACGCGAAATATTTTTGCATAACTAGACAGTAATTGTGTGGTTATGGTATATAACAAATAATAGAAACAAGCAATCATAGTACTGGGGGAACATAAATCATCAGTAAACGCGCCGCACCAACTTACTGGTATTTATGTAAGGATTTTTCAAAATGAACCGTTATATGGGAAGTGGTCGAAAAAGTGATCCGATCCAAACTATTTTCAACAGCATTCGTCCTTGGGCCAAGAAATGTCAATGCACCAAATATCACCAAAATATCTTTAATATCACGTCCTGTAGACTGAACACAAAAATACATGGACAAAGATCAGACGTACAGACAGGCAGAGAGACCGACAGTCTTAGATCGATTTAGAAATTGATTCTTAAGCTGTTCTGGATGTTATATACCTCCAGACTAACTTAATATACCCTGTACCGCATGCGATGTAGGATATAAAAGCTGAGAAATTAACTCCACAGCTTCTCCCGGTATGACTCACGTATACAAAACAAAAAACACAAGAAAAAAAGGAAAAACAAGTAATTAAAGTTGGACTATCTAATCAGTGCTCGTTGTCATTGAGCACACGTAGTTACAGTGGTCTAGGTGTAACTCTTGCCATTCAAGCAAGCAAACCCCGGGCTCTATCTCTATCGCACCCTAAAAGATTGAACTCATCAGCGTGTAAGGGCTTGTAAAATACGCATTTGCATTACATATTTATTAAATAAAAATGAAATATGCGTCGTCGAATTTCATAATGGAGTTTTCTTATGAGATTTGACGGCCAACTCTCAAGAAAAGCGAAAAAGAATGGCAAGCGGTCTCAACCCCATGGTAGCCGCGGTTGCGGTTAGTTTGCTTTTAGGTTTCGGACATGCACAGCATAATCAATCTAGTATCCGGAGCACTCACGCATTTTGAATTGACATTCGATTGTTCCCCATTGATTTTTAATGGCCTAGACCACCCTGGCGGTGGGGGTGCGTTCACTATCACTACATGGAAAAGAAGCCTAGACACAGATGAGAAGGCCTTTGAAGCACAAAGTGCCGAATGAGAAACAAATAGACGTTTACATAGATAGACGAACAAGGCAAGATCGTTTCCTCTCCTCAGGATGATCACAAATTAATATTAATTTTTTTGGGATCGCCCAATTTATGTTTTTATGCATTACACGTATTATGTATATCTCACCTCGAAGCCAATTAATTTACATTTATAATTTATTTCAATATTTAATAACTCGATGCTCTAATGATTAATGTTACGAAATACCGGCAAAAAATGCATCATTTTTAGATAAATTATGTGAAAAAAGAAGAAACTAACAGCTGGCGCCACAATTTATACAAATACATTTTGTTATTTGATAGTTTTAATTAATCAAAATTTTTTTTAACTTTTTCAAATTATCTTTCAATCAAAGCGATGTCAATTAAAAAAAAAAAAAAAAAAAAAAAAAAAAATTCCTGCTTTTTTTTTTTCTTTAAAAACAGATTATCTTTTAGTATTTTAACTATTCCAAGGATTTGCGAATTGAATAAATGAGGTAATTAAGCATTTATGAGAGTTTTGAAAACTTTAAAGTGAATCTTTGACAATTATCTTCTCAAACTAATATCTAAAGTTAACTAAAGACATATCGGTTGACAAGATCATAAAAAGGCCAAAAATGGCCAATCTTTGTCAATGAATGTAACTATAGTCTATTGTGTGCGTGCTCCTTCGCTAATCTCGCTCTAAGACATATTGTCGAATCCTGAACGAATTCAAAGCTTAGGAAGAGGAGCTCCTCAATTATATCCAATGACGATTCGCACAAACGCACGGACTCTTATTTAACCATTTCTACCAATCAAGAACGTGGCAATGGTATTATATCCCAAGTATCTGCAGTAAAGTAGTGATCACTAAACATTTAATTCTCTTCGTCCCTCTTTCTCTTCAGTAGAATATTATTTAATTTATTTAAAGAAGAGTTTCCAAGAATAATTTCTATAAGATCTTGTTAGAAAGAATATTGCATTCCTTCTAAATCAAGCGTCATATCGAACGCTCTTTCCGTTGAAAGTTAATAGTACGGATTTTGTGAGCAGTTAAAGCGAAAAATATTTAGGATTTATTTTTCAATAAATTATCCAGAAACTCTCTTCTATCGATATTTAAAAAAAATAATTCAATTCCTCTAAGCTGAACGTAATAACAGCATTCTGACCATCTCCACGACTGAATCGATTTAAATGATTTTTGTGATTCTAAGGGCTACAATGCCATTCGCATAAACGGAGCATGTTCGGTATATCAAGCACTTTATTTTACTGCAAAAATCTACCAATCATTCCGCTTAAAATACGTAGACAACGGGAAAAAATTGACCTGATCTGCTGGTATGCACTCGCAGTAAAAACAAAAAAAGATCTTACGCCTTCTAAGAAATATTGATTTAAAATCCGTGAAAAATATTTCTTAGATCCAATTCAAAGGCTAAAAAAGATATCACATCTATCGATTCATCCATGAATGGAGCTAATAATCACCTAAGCACATAAAATATTTTGCAATTATAATGTGCTGATCTGAGATAATGGGCAACAATAGATATACCCTAAGGCGAATAAAGCTTTCTTGCTTGTTTAAATTAAATAAACAGAAGAATACCGCATATCTTAAATATTCGTGTTGGCTAACGAAGCAGAATTCGTGTACATATCGGATAGAGGAATTTTTGTTTATTAGAGCCATAATGTGCCCGTGTTCTCTCGCACAATTTACAATCAATTTGAATTGCGGAGGATTTGTTGGGCTTAGCGTAAAAGAACATAATTAGCAATTGGTGCAGGTCTCTCTTACATTTTACATCCTGCAGAATTATCGCAGTTACCCAATGGAAGACTAACGACCTCACGAGCAATAATTCATCTAATTGCGAATTTCACGATTTCACTTTTGATTTGTATACAATTAGTCATGCATGGCTTAATCTTTGGGACAAGCACATAATGACAGAATCAATAGCTGAGCACCTTTCTTTCGATCACATAGGAAATTCTAAGCAATAGATGCCAGTAAGCAGCAATAACTGCCGATCTCTAATTTCTGCATTAAATATTTCATCTCAGTCGATCGTTTATGGATCGAAGGTCTAAGACTCTCTTCAAAAAATGAAATAAATGATAAAATAGCGGACGAGTGTTGTAAGTAGGTTAAGAATTAAGAAAGCAAGTTTCTACAGAGAGATGGGATTGAAGGAAAGCAAGCTCTCCGGCTTAATTCCACTTATTCCGTATGCATAAACCTGGTCCAAAAAAAAAAAAACAAAGTTTGGTTTGGTGAAGAACCCGCTCTTAAGCAAGTAAAATCTCTTACTTAAATTTTTACACCGCAAAAATCTCTTCATCGATCGGCGCGATCAAGCGAATCTTTTGAGATGGAATTTTAAACGCGATGGTTAAATAAACTTTTATTCTTCTTACCAAATATTTATATAAGGAAAAGTTTTTTTCTTTTTTTTTTTTTTAAACGGATAAAAAGTTTTAAAAAGAAAGAAAACGCTTTTCATGCACTTACCACAACAATAATGCAAAATAAAAACGTGACTTAAACATTTTTAGTTGCCTCTCAGGTATGACGTATTTTTTATTTTTTATTTTTATTTTTTTTTGTTTGCAACAAATACACTCAACGATGAAGGTGTTTAGGAAAAAATTCTTATTTACTTATCTATGATATTTTATAACTATGACTGAATATTATTCGCAATTTTCTTTTCTTTTTTTTCTGTGTTTGTGTGTAATTTTTTTATTGATTAATATTTGAAAAAAAAAAAATTTTTCCTCTTTTTTGTTTAATGAATCATTAATTTATTTATTTTTTTTTTTTCAAAAAGCAACACTACACAATCAGGAAACATTTTTAATAAGTATAAATGAAAAAAAAAAAATAATGATAATAATAATAAGAATAAGATTATAAATTTGTTTTTTTATTTTATTTATTTATTTTTTTTTTTTATTTACTCAAAAAACAAAAATGGTTGGAAAAAAAATTTCATTGACTTTTGCACAAAATACTTTTTTTTGTTTCTTACGTTTTACTGGTTATGTAAAACACGTCTTGCCAAGCAGAAAATACGCGTTCGAATGTGTTTCACTTTTAAGCTTAAACAAGATGAAACATTTAAAATCAAAACAAAAATTTCGACATTTAAGGCAGCTACGCACACACGACTACCGGGAAAGGATAATAAACAGTACTAACGAAATGCGAGCAAAACTTGAAGAAAAACGCAATATTCACTGAAAAAGTATTTTATAATAAAACGAAAGAAGCGCGTACGCGTGCTTACTGCAGCAAGCGCTAAAACAATCTGTTGATCGTAGCGAGCGTAAAAGTGCAAAGTTGATGACAATAATATATTATTTAGCAGTTAATGCAGCAGCAACAACAGCAGCAGTAGCGGCCACAGCACAGACGGCGCAGAGGACGACGTCGTATAACGAAGCGAGCGCAAAGAAACAAACAACTCAATAATTGTCGTTTGTTTTAACTTGTTTTTTTTATTTTAAATAAAATATTTTACTACAGTTTGGCTGGCTGGCTCGCTGGCTGGCTGGCTTTTGCCGTCGTGCATACGTAATGGTCGCAGCGACAGAGTCGTAAAGTCAAAAGCGAACCTTCTACGCGCTAATGTATACGAAAAGAGGTTTGAATAATTTGCAGAGCAGTTCAAGACTTGTTAGCTGATCGTTTCAAATGCAAGTAAAGTTTGTTTGTTTTTTTATTTTTTTGTTTGGTATTCGGTAAGTTATTAACATGTCTTTGTGTTGGTTCTTTTGTTTTTGGTTTCAAGCCTTGTTGGGTATTGCGAGAAGCCGCTCATTAAACTTACGACAGGTAATAAGTAGCCGACAGAAGCAAACCGGTAAATATCGCAACTCTCTCACTTAATTTTTCCAGAGACTCTCTCTTTTTTTCTTATTATCACATAAGATAAGTTGTTTTAAAAAGCTTTAGTTTCGGCAGCAATAAAGAGAATATTGATGGAAAGTTTGTTTAAGTCTGTTTCAGTATTTGTGTCATTTGAAAAAGAGAGAAAGCTAAAGGAGTTTGTTTTTTTCTTCTTTTTCAAACAAACCAATTTTTGAAAACCTGTATATAAGTTGTGTATATAAAACAAGAAAAAAATATATATAAAGAAAGAAAAATCTTTAAAAAACAATCAAAATGAACGAAAGTAAAATCAGGTCGCTGCCATACGCACCTATTAAAATATAAAATGATTACTTATGATCATCCAAGCCACTACTTTTTTTTTTTTCTTTTCTTTTTTGCATAACATTTCCCTTATGTTATTTGAGCACAAAATATGCGATTAATATAAACAATCATAAATAAATGGTTTGCATTTTTGTGAAAGGCATTTACGGATTTCATCGTTAAATATGTAAATCATTATTAATTAATCGCATTTACGCAAGACGCTAACCATTTGCTTCTTCAAATAGCATAATTTTCATTTTCATTTTCTTTTCTGCTTCTTTTTTTTTTTTTGTTTTTTTGAGTCTATACTTTATACCGACGTTTTCGACAATAGCCCCGACGCCCTGTTGTCTTGTCGCGATGATGCTGTCGATGATAATAATGATGATGTAAGATTTTTGTTTTGTATTGTGTTTCCATTATTTACTATTTTATGTCTGTAATGCCGTGCCATTGAATGCGTGCTATAAGCAGCTTGCTGCCTACTTCTGCTGTGGTGTTGCTGTCAGCTTTTTTCTTTTGCATTTTTTATTCAATTGATGTTTGTTTATGAATTCTCTAAATATTTCCACTTTTCATTGATTTTTTTATCTATTTTTTTTTATCTATTGTATTTATCTCTTCCACTAGCAATAATAGTTAAGCAATGCCTTAAAAAATAATTGGGAAAAGCTTTTATAATAGGATTTTACAAAGAAGAAGAAATTTTGCATTTTGCTATGAGTTCTGGAGCCTGAAGTTATGTCTTACTAGTAAGCAAGAAATGTTTTTTTTTTCCTTTTTTTTTTTTCATACGACCAAAGAAGCGATCCTCTCTATGCAGGAAATATTGATGTTCTCTGTTATTTTATATCCTCCGAAGACAGTTCTGTTAAATTGATCGAAACAGAATCATTTTCTAATTTGATTTAAGTTTGTCTGTCCGTCCGTCCGTTCAATCTATGGATTGAAATCTATTTTAACGAAATTTAATACACTGCCGGACGAATATATATACTGTTGACAATGAATTGACAATTACTCTTCACTAAATACCACATTTTGCAACAGTCATTATATGAAAAAAATTGAAATTTTCAAAATTACTCAACAAAACAACATTGTGCAATGGTGTTACGGCATACGCTGTGATGTTGATATTAAAATGTTAAAAAACATTTTATTCGAAGTACAGCCTGATTTGTGGATGCCATGCCTTTAAAAATCTTCCCATGTTTCTGCGAGCGATCAAGTTTTCTCAAGTGTTTTCTCATAAAATCTTATGAACTAAAACGTTGCTTAACAAGTGCAAGCAAGTGGTGATTGAAAGAACTCGAGTCTGGTGAGTAAGCCGCTTGGACTAGCTCTTCCCAGTTGGACGCTTCCAACGTGTGTCGAGCCGGTTTCGCAATATGAGGATATGGATGACATATTAAAAAAGTGCCGTTGTTGTTCCAATTTTCTGAAGGTTTTTGGTATAGAAAACTATTCAAACGTCTTAACTATTTTTAGTAGCATTTGTTTCAGACTTTAACTGGCCATACGCATCGCGCCTTCCTGCTATAACAATTCAGGAACTTTAAAATAAATCCACAACTCATGCTGAGTAATGGTACGATGTAAAGACGACTTGCTTTTGTATGGCTCGAAGAAGAATTAAATAATGGGGGTAAACGGTTTTTTTTTGTCATCAGGCTCGACATGTTCAACCCCGTATGGATCTGTTATTTTTGTAAGATCTGGATCTGTCTTTGTCAGATGCTAACAAGAAAAAATGAACCCAACGACGAGATTTGCCTGTGACGACATTCCGGCTTCATATTTACGCACCTTGTACAAAGCTAATGTGAATAGTTTGGATAGGTTTTATGAACTTTCTCACTCTTTATGAAAAGTTAGGTTTTTTACAATAAACAAGTTTAATTTTAAAATTTTTATGATGAAATTAGTAATAAAACAAAAGAGAAACAAAACTAAATTTGCTTAATATGAACATCGGTCAGTTTGTGTCCTCGCGGAAAGATAGTATAATTTTTTTGGTATTCAACCATGAAGATCAACCCCTAAGTGATGTAGAGTATTTAATTGTCGGCCTTATCGTATAATAATATTTTTACTTCTATTTTTATTTCCTTTTTAATTCCATTGATGTATATGAATAACGACGGACTGACATATCACGAGTATTTCTTCCTACTTAGCAAACTATTGTTAATAAAAATGATTGTTTAACGGAACAAATTACAGTTGAATGTGAGATTCTTTATGAGTCTCTGACTCTTCACATTCACGTCAAGATCTTATTTCTTCGTAAGAGAAAATTGCCGAATATCTCCGTAACTCCATGCTGTTAGGCTTGTTAATGAAGAACTTACGTGTAGAGGCGTTTTTTAAAAGTGGAAAGACTGGACTTAGAAAAATCTTATTAAGTAATATTTTTTATATAACATGATGGTGTCTAACGTGTAGTTGTGCACACTTATATATTCAACTTAGTTGTGAGCAAACATTTAATCCAATTGAACAGAATTTCAAATTTAATCTGATGGAAATCAATCCAAGCTTTTTTGGGTCAAATTAATCTTGCATAATAAATTATCGAAAAGATATAAGCTTAGGGATATATTCGTAAGTAATCCCTCCGCCCCTTTACTCATCCACTCTCATTCAAATTATCTGTAAAATTACGTATAACTAAATTCATTCATTTATCAAGTTTCCAATGACATAACTAATACATCATGATATGAAAATCCAAATTATTAGTTTTTCTTCCGCTTTAGGTCTGTGATAGGTAGGAAGGTTTTTAATTACATATCAAGAAGCCGTACGCAGTGCAAGTCTTTTGAAAAACCGTTACACAAAGGAATCAATGGACATTTTTATCACTTATGCCACTTATGGTAAATATATATAAAACTTGTACGAGTGTATGCAAAAGCACAAAGAACTTGAATGATAAGCTCTGGACTTGTTTCCGGTAACATTCAAAACTGTAGTACCATCTTTTAACCACTTTTCGAAATAAGTCTGCAAGTATTTCGCGAATAATCCCGCTTTATAAGGTCATTGAGAGTTTGTGGTTTCCGGAGTAAGCCCATGCTCCACTAGAATTAAATCGCATTACCTTTATAGCAAACTGACAAAGGCATAGAATTACGCGATAAATTTTCCCATACATATCGTCCAAGTCGAAATCATCTAATACGTGTTAGAGACAATCAGTTGTCATGATTCCCTAGACTTCTTCACTGATGTTGAACTATGATCCTATTTTTGGGTTCAGCTGAGGTGTCTTCTTTACACCAAAGTGGCAGTAATCCTCAAATTTACAAAGTCATGTAATCAAATATGAATTTCAATTCACTGTCACTAAGCTTAACCGTATGTTCAGTGCTCTCGTAAAAAGTTTCAAGAATTTCTGTGCGCTTGACAAATGTCTATACATTGCATTACACAAATAGTAACAAATGCGGATCAAAAAATTATGTTGGAAAAATATATATTGAAATCTAATTTAGAGGCGTATTTTTTTATTTACGTTTGCTTACGATAGAACCACCAAACAGATGAGTCCAAATAGCATAATTT